ACTTACAGCAGGTCCCTCAGGTCCTGGAGGTCCTTCAATCAGCATCCCCTGCAAAATCCAAAATAAAGTAAAAAGACAGACAGACAAACCCTCAGACGTCCTCTTAATGTCTACTCCATTAATCCTCTAATGAGCAACACTTCAGAACGTTTCTTAACTGGCCTCACAAGCTACAGCGCCACAAATATCTTTGTAAAGGTAAATGTGTATAACTACAAGGTTAACAGGCCACTTTGTTAGGTACACAGGTCCAGCTGCTTGTTGACACAAACATCTAATCAGTGGTCAGTGAGCGCAGTTCTCTGGGAGAAAATGCCTCAATGATGTCAGAAGTCAGAGGATAAGGACTGCTTCAAACTGACAGCAGGCACAGAAAACTCAATTAAGCACCAGTTACAACCAAAGCAACACTGAATGCAAACTGTGTTGAACCCTGAACAGATGAGCAGACCAGGCTGTGCTCCTGTGAGCTTAGAACAGGAAACTACAATCAAAACTGGACAACTGGAAAAATGTTGCCTGGTCTGATGACAATGCAGGAAGATGAAGCACAGAGCTCAGATTTCCTCAAACTGTTTTTTTTTGTTGGATAAGACAGTGAGTTTACTGTATTCACATGATCTCCACAGCCACCAGACCTCAGTCCAACAGAGCACAGAGGATGTGCATTACAGATGTGCAAATCTGCAGCAGCTGTGTGACGCTATCATCACCAGAGTCTCTGAGGAATGTTTCCAGCACCTTGCTGAATCTAAAGAATTAAGGACGTCCAAACTGACTGTAACAAGCAGCTCCTAACAAAATAATTTGAGTGTATTTCTTGGATTACTGTGAAGAACAGGATAGTAATGAGAAGGTTGCCAGTGCAATTCCCTGTAGCTTCTGGTAAAACAACCCCCCCCCTCCCAAAACACCCGGTCAGGTAAAACTGTTGAATTGACTCACAGGCTCCAGGACAGCAGGCTCGCCTTTCTCTCCTTTCTGGCCTCTAACAGCAGCCTGAGGAAAACACACATGCAGTCAATAACAAGTACACACACTGACACAGAGGACAGCGACAGCATGTATCAAACATTATCGTACTAGAGTTGATAAAAGAGTAAAATAAAATGAAAACCTGCTCTGCTTGAATTAAAGTGTAACTTTGTATCCAAATACCATTGATTCAGCAGCTCTCCAAACTGTTGGTCCATGACTTACAGACGTATTTATGCACAGATACAGAATCCTCTGAGCTGGGCACCAAAATACAAAGACATATACTCAAAACGACATTCAGGGTGAAAGATCACCTCTGAATGCCTCTTTGTGGAGCATATGTGACAGTATAAGTTACTGTAAGGCTCAATACACACACTGTAAATGAAAACCCATTTCAACCACTGCTGTGATAACTTTGCCTTGAAATGCATTCGCTGTCCGTTTCTCTGTGACTGACTGAGTTTGCAGGCTATAAAACGGAGACTGTGAACAAATTTTACATGAATGTCGTCCACTCTGAATTCACGGTTTGGTGAATGATGGTTGATGCATCCAGTCTGGATAGCTGAGGCTTCTTAACTCCATGTTTGAGGATCATCTCTGTGCCAGTTCTCAAAGCAATGTTCAGTGTTTGAATTCAAATTAGTAAATTAGCTACCAAAACATCAGTAGCTGAATTAATGTAAGGCTTAATGTAAGATAATCTCTCTCTGCAGTGCAAACTCAAACAAGTCACGTGACAGGACACTGAATGCAATTTCACGATACTTTGTAGAGCTGGTTGAAATGTTTTTTGTGTTTTTGCCTCTGAAGCAAAGCGACTTACGCCTCCCTCGTCTGTCACAGCGGACAGGGCGGGGCCAATGTTGCCATCAACCTCTGCAGTCTCTGGTGATGGTTCATTGTAGTCTCTGTAGTTATAGTCGTACTCCTTAAGGCCCACGTCCCCAGTCTCATACTCCTCAGTGAAGAGCTCTTCTCCAGTACCGCCCGCCTTGGCGGCGTCTACCTCTTCTCCCACCAGTGCTGGCTCCACCTGAGGCTGCGACGAGTTTATCGTAGCCACAGCGGGATGGATGGAGGGGCACGAGAGAATGATTCAAGCAAAGGAAAAGAAAAGGTGCAGAAAGGACGAGGAGAATAGTCAAAGAAAGGGGGAGAGGTGTGCAGGACGGG